AATTATTACACACTGTAGCTTTAAGTACTGACTGATACCCATACTGAACCGATTTGGTATCAGAACCAATCATACACACTTTAACTACTCATTTAGGTTAGAGTGATATAAACCCAAAAATTGTATCAGCATTTTGTGGTACTATCATAGTAAACACAATGGTAAATAAACAACTTTAAAGTCTTTTTTTAATTAAATGTGTGGCTGTGGCTAAAAACACAACAATCGGCTCCACAATCACTGTTCTAGAAGCCCATAACCATTTCACATTTCTTCAGGGCAGCAGTTATGCGAAGAGCTGAGATTTTAGATCACTTAACTGCATTTTATTTTATTATTTTCATCACCGACTGAATGGCTTCAGCCTAATTTATTTAACTGCAGTTATTGGAGATGTTTTTAATTGTTTCAAGGGGACTGATTAATGTTTATATCAGCATTTCAATCAGCTTATTTATATCAGAGAATTTAGATGAAGGCTATTTGTTGCCTTTTTTATTTTTTTATAATATCCGATATAATTATTGGCTCGGGAGAGTCCTAATAACATATAACAGATTGACGCCGATACATCAACCGGCGGATGTTTTTGGTTTTATTATATTTAGAGGTCTAAGACGAACCCCACCAATATATCCTATAACTCTCAGGTTTATTCTTTGGGATCTCGGTGCATAGCTACAGGGAGTTTATAGCACCTCTAATGCAAAATCGCTGCTTGTCAATAAAAGTCCTGCAGAAGAGATGAACAGTTGATATGAAATGTGTGTCTTTGCAGACAGATGGCAGCGACGCAGTGAGTTTTGGTCAATCTCCAGCTCCTACTAAGACATCTCTTTTATATCATCAACCTTAAAGGTGACACTAAAGAACCTTAATGAAGAATATAGTTTCGTTATAAGATATTGTAATTTAAATAAAAACAAAGCACATTTAAAATAGCTAATTATTCATAAAAAATACAGAGATACATAAATAGTTGCAAAAATAAGCATTTTAAAATTGGTTTTTACTTTTCTGAAACACATTCAAAATCAAGTTATCTGCACATATTCAAAAATGTTTAAAAAGAACCTTCGATGTGAATTGTGTTTAGCGGGGAGCAATACTTTATACTTATACTATTTATACTTTCTGTGCTTCTTTCTTCCTTCATCTTTAAAAGAAAAACAAAGAATCATTGAGTGTTTTACCTATTTAGGATTGTTTCACTTTGCTGCTAAATGACCTGATCAAGAAAACTGGATTTTTGGGGGAATTTAGGAAGAGGATATAGTGATGATGATGCTGGGGGAATTCCTGAAGGCCGGAGCACAGCGGTGTGCTTTAAATCAATACCAAATGTGTCCAAGTGAAACTGAAAGTATAAGACAAAGGCCTCCAATCACAGGAGCTTAAAAAGACAGAAAGAAATATTCATAGACAGCAAATTAAATGACATGAAAACAATATGTATACATTTATATGGATGGGTGCAATGAGAAATCAACAAACTGGGAGCTTAATTTTAGTTCTACCTTGTCAAAATAAAATATCTTGTGTGTCTAAACAGGATTTTTTTTAGTCATTCAGTAATTTTTTTAGTGCAACATTTTGCCTATTTTTTAAAATTTTTTTTGTTGAACTCCTGCCTTATATTTTTTGTTTCGCTGTTGAGCAGAGAAAGACAATGTGTGGAAAAACACGATCAGCTTCCTCATCACTGTACTGTCCACAACTGTGAGAACAATCTGACAAATGCATGAAAAGGTATTTGTAAACAAGGATCCAGCCTTTTTTACAAATACCGTCCCAACGTAAAATCTCCATTTACATATCAGTTTCCTGAGACAATAATTATTTATTTATAATATACATATGACCTGTTATGATGGAGTATTAGGGCCAGGATATAGATTTTTATTATTCTATTACAACAATAAAGTCTTAACATTAGAGAATAAAGTCGGAATGAAAATAGCTGTAAAATTACGAGAAAAAGTCACAACGAAAATTTGTGTAATTACGAGAATAAAGTCGCAAAATTACAAGAATAAAGTCACAATGAAAATAGTCGTAAAATTACGAGAATAAAGTCTCAAAATTAAGAGAATAAAGTCGTAACATTACGAGAATAAAGTCGTTACATTACAAGAATATGCAACGAAAATAGTCATAAAAATATGAGAATATAGCCACAATGGAAATAGTAATAAAATTATGAGAATATAGCCGCAATGGACATAGTAATAAAATTATGAGAATATAGCCGCAACGGAAATAGTCGTAAAATTATGAGAATATAGCCGCAATGGACATAGTTGTAAAATTATGAGAATAAAGTAGAAACATTAAAGGAATAGTACACCCAAAACATGATT